ATGCATGCGACTGCATTGTAGTGCATATTGTTGTCTGTGTCCGTTGTTCCATTGTGGATGATTGTACTGTGTGTAGTACGTTGTTTGTGGTGACGTAGTGTATGTAACTACTTGTGGAGTGTGCATTCTTGTGTCTTGTTTACGATCTGCCATTTTTGAGAATATAATATTTGTTTTGTTTATCAACTCTCGGCCCTGCTTGTTCTTTGGGCCACAGCCGGCGTCCGCTGCGCGCCGAAAAGGACCACTTCTAAATTGTCCACGCTTTCGTGGTGCGGTTCGGGGGGCCAATACTTCGGCCCTTGGAATTAGCCCGGCGATCGCCCCCTAATAAACGGGACCGGTGTGACAATTATCTGGCGTCCGCGACTCAGGACCTTTTGGTACACAGTGTGTCCAAAGTAGTGAGAAAGAGCCTCGAGTTGTTGATACTGCTATCGGACCGATTTTGTGTGTTGTTCAGTTTCTCGTTAACGAGTGCAGGGGAGTGTTCCGATAGACTGATTTAGGCAGATACTTTTTGCCGCGGCAAGGTTTTATTTGCGAGTTGCGAGACACAATGGATCTCGAAAAGTTAGTTGCGCTTGGTGAGAAGATGTTCCTCTCCGGCGCCGAACTACGGAAATGGGTAAGCCAGAAGGAGAAAGAGGCGGTGGAGGAGAAAGGTTGGCATCTGAGAGAGCCCAGGAGAAGAAAAAGCAGCTGAGTTGGAACGAGAGAGGTTGGCGGTCGAAAGAGCCAAAGCAGAAAAAGAAGCTGAGTTGGAACGAGAGGTGTGGCAGCTGAAAGGGTGAAAGAAGAAGAGAGCAAAGGCGACGACAGCTGAAGAAGAAAGAGGCAAAGGAGCGACAGCTGAAGGAAGAAAGAGAGCAGCAATTGAAGTTGGAGCTGGAGAGAGAGAAGTTGGCAGCCAAAAGGGCGAGAGAAGAAAGAGAAGCGAGGGAGCGACGCTGAAGGAAGAAAGAGAACGAGGGAGCGACAGCTGAAAGAAGAAAGAAAGCGGAGATGGCTGAAAGGGAACGGCAGCGGCAGCACGATATGGAACTCGAGCGGCTCCGTTTGCAACAGCGAATTGAAACTCCCTCCAAGCTAGAGTTGAAAGCAGCGAACAGGAAGATCATGGCTTCCGCTGAACCCAAGCAAGCGCTCGTAGCGTTGATGAAAGGAGGACGACCTGACGCGTACTTCACCGATTTGAGACGATTGCAAGGAGCCAGAATTGGCCGGAACACAATGGGCACGCTTTGAGTACTTGCTTGAGTGTGAAGCGCTCAGTGTGTACGGTAGGCTGACGCGACCGATGCAGCCAACATGCAAAGGTGAAGCTGCTTTGCTAAAGCGATTTAGATTTACTGTAGAAGGTTTCGGGACAGATTTCGGACAGGAAAGCCAGCTGATGGTGATGACGGCTACGCAGTATGCCGCCAGACTTTGCCATTATTTCGACAGATGGATTGAACTTTCAGGGACAGCGCAGGAGTACGATGAACTTAGAGAGCTCCTAATTAGAGAACAGTTCTACTAGTTGCCACCCAAGCCTGTCGCTGTATTGAAAGAGAGGAAGGATGAGTCACTTGAAGGAATGCTTGAATGGCTGATCAATTCTTGGAAGCGCAAGGTGGAACTAATTGGCCAAGGTCAAGAAGGATTGTCCTGATGATTCGAAGAAATTGGCTCCCGAAGAAAAACGTACACCAGAGAGCATTCCGCGATGTTTTCTGTGCAAACGAGTGGGTCATCGCGCGAAAAACTGTCGAACGATCTTTACGAGCCCTACGGCAGTAAAATGTTTCAAGTGTGGTCAGACTGGGCACAAAGCAGACGCTTGTCCGAACGGAGTGAGTCAAACTCACCAGGTATCCTGTGTGCAAGTGGCACCGAAATCTGATAATAATGCCGTCACCGATAGATTCGTAGAGTTGAAGAATGGGGAGAAAATTCCTATTGTGGGTGCTGTAATGTCAAAACAGCCAACCGGTGTTACGAAGGGAACGCCAACGCTGCCTGGAAAGGTTGCAGGCAAGAAGATTACAGTTCTAAGAGATACCGGCAGCTCCACGGTTATCGTGCGGAGAAATTTGGTACGGGAAAGTGAGTTGACTGGCAAAACGAAACCGGTTTGCTTAATTGACCGTACAGTTCGGATGCTTCCCGAAGCAAAGATTGAGGTTGAAACCCCGTACTTCAGTGGGAAGGTTACTGCTTTATGCATGACGACCCCCCTGTATGACCTTGTCATCGGAAACATCGACGGGGCGCGAGGGCCGAATGATCCAGAACGTTTGGGGGAAGACCCGAAGATAGAGCCCTCGCCAACCCGGCGGCCGCGATATACAGTGGAGGAGCATCCCGTGACGGATATCACTCGAGCCCAAGGTGAAGCCGCGGCGCAAGAGACAGTGAAGGAGAAGATGATCGTGTTGAATGAGTTCACGGGCCGAGCAACCGGACTTACGTCGGCACGACCTCAACCGACCGACAGTATGAAGGTGACGGAGTCGGCCAGCCGGGCCAAATGTCGAGACATGAACAAGCTGGTAAATAAACAGACAGGACCCGCAGAACGTTATGACCCGTTAACGGTGTCGGAAGTGACCACGATGGCTGAGACGCCGCCTCAGATATCGTCGTTGGAAATAGCTCGCCGAAAAGAACGTGGAAACACAAGAAGAGATCGAGCGAGCACCGCAAGAAAGGGGGAAAGGCGCAAGCGCCGCTCAATGTACACAGGATAAGTGCTGAAGTCGAATAAGAATGTGTATCCCAGTCTCGATGATCATCGGAGACGTACATCGAAAGCATCTCTGTGAGCGTGCGGTTGAGACGTTCAGTTAGGCCATTAGTTTGTGGGTGGTAGGCGGTAGATAGCTTATGGGCTGTAGCACACGATCGAAGGAGGTCATCGACAACTTTGGACAGGAAAGAGCGGCCGCGGTCCGTAAGCAGCTGTCGGGGTGCACCATGGTGTAAGATGACGTCATGAAGAAGAAAATCCGCGACGTCAGTGGCGCAA